TCCGCCGTAACGAACAGAAGAGCCGAGGTGTTCATCCCGTTGTGTGCGGCTTTCGTTTGACCACACCTTGAATACTGTGTTCAAGCGTAGGTGCTATTTCTCGGAAAGGATATCCGGAGGCTGGAGCAAGCCCAAAGGCTCTCTACCAGAGTGGTATGGGGAATGAAGCAGATGAAGCAGACAAGAAGCCGACTGTAAATCAGGCATTAGTTCTTCTCAAATAGGGTAATCCCAGCCTGGAATCGGCTTCCGACAACAGTAGTTTCATGTCAATTGGTGCAGACCTTTAAGCGCGATTTAGACCTAGCGTGGAGTTCCGTTTTTCCGGACTCACGCTAATGATAACTCACCCTGACCCACAAGAAACAGAGGCTGCGCCATCTCTTTTTCCGTTCTCTAATTGCAGATAACTCCGGAACGATAAAACCGGTAACAATACGAACTCGCAGCTGAGTCAGTTCCAGGACAGAACACTTCAATACCAGGACACCTCACAGGCGAAGGCCTCCTCACGTCCTGCAACTTGAAATTTGAACTGAACTAAACAGCTATCTTAGACAACGGTGCTAAAGCGAGAAAAAAAACAAAACTTGACTGACCTGTGGATGGTGTCCGGCCGGAAGCAGGCCAATACTAAGGTAAAGATCTCTACTTCTTGGAAATGGGTTACAGACAAAAATAAAAAGTTTGTTTTAATGCTTCTATTATGTACAGAACTGACGACATTAAGGTCGCTGCTCGGTCGTCGAAATGTCTGCCACCGAGCAGATTCGCGCTCTTCTGGACGAGTTTATGGGTACTACGCGGAACGGTAAGTTGAAAATGAGAATAATCATTAGAATTTTGGTGGAGGTAAAGTTATTTTACTCGCGTTCACTGAGTAACCCCCGATATAAGCGTCTTAAGTGCATTTTGGGTGCACCTAATAGAGCGAACCAACTAGGGATAGGTAAATGTTGTTGAGAAACGTTACATGGTNTGGTTAAAAAAATTTTGGTAACTTCGTTGAATGTTCGGCATTTCGTCAATAAGTTATCTAATAGGCGCATTCGGGTACCTGGACAACGTTCAAGCTGGAGATAAGCATTTTACTCCCTGTTTAATGCCATGTACATGGTTGATACTGGGTTACTCTCAAAGCGACAGCTTCGATCAATTTCAGTCAGATGACCTGTGTTTTGAAATTAATCGACATCGAAGGTTTCTTTCCTATGGAAGCCTTAAAATTTGTCATCATCTGAAACAGTCATATTTTATTGCTATTCACCTCTACTGTGACGTTTGAAACAAGTTGAAAACCGACGAATATGAAATACAAAACAATACTGGTGTGACGCCAACCGCACGGAAATTAAGGACAATGCATACGCGAACTTATTTGTAAGGTTGGTGGCTCTTGTTGGTCCAAGAAAGTGTCATGTGGTGCGTGAAAGCCAACGTATAAGGTAGAAGTTAATTAAAAAGTAATGCACCATGTAATATTTTTATCATCTGCCACATGTCGGTCAGCGTATTGTGATATAGACTCAGAAAATGTGCCGCAGTCGGCATTTAGACCGTTAGACAACAAAACAAAAACTGACCATTCTGGAAGTCACGGTGCTAATCATATTACCCACACTTGATGCTATCGCGTTTCATGTAACGGTTTGGAATTCGCTATGAAGACACTACTGATCTCATGATTGACCAATTTGAACGAGATCTTTTTTCGGTATGGTTATAGTGGGTCAGTGCTTAGCAAAATCAACAATCTTAGCGACCAAGTGTTGGATGCTTGTGTTTTGACGCGGCTGACTAAAGGGATAAAGTCAACTACAGGATTTTAAGTACTTTTCTTGCTTACTGGGATACAATTCATTTATAATAATAGTAGTACTAGTAGTAGTAGTTTCACATTTAGGCCTAGGGGCGAAATTACAATAATATTGTTCAAATCTTGCCCTCCAACATCGTGTCTCTGGAGGTACTAGCTCGCACGCCGCTTAGGCCTTCCTGCACAGGGCGTTTCGTAAGAGTCCGCGTGTGCTGGCTTACGGTGGTTAATAACTAGATCTTGCAAAGGATACTCTGAAAGGTTTTCGGTTATGCGTTATGGTTTTAAATCCGTCATTTTTATTCTTAGTATATCTCCCTATCGTGCTAACTGGATTGGGCAAATAAAACTGCAACTTGTGTAAACTAGACTCATACTTCTTGTGTGAGTTCCGTCCATTCGCCATGCCAGGCAGACAGTTTCAGTTTATGCGGCCACTAACCGTGCACTCTCGTGTGGCGGCTTGGGTTTACTGTCGCTGAGAACAGCTCTGTCAATGTAAAGATTTCGAATTTCTGCTTTGCTTGGGCAACCTGCCGGTATTCCGTCCTAGAAAATCATGAATCTTATTGAGATTATTGCGGTATGTTTGATGTAATCTGAATTCATGCAATCGAAATACATGCTTTTATAAGAATTATTGAAAAGTTGAAAACTGTAGAAGGGAAGGAGTATTCATTTGAGCTTCTAATGCTTAAGTAGCATAATTAATCTGCTTCCTTTAGTGCCTCAGTGCACGGTTGGATGCTGGGTCAGCCCGATTCTGCAGCAGCATTTTACGCTCTTACCATGCGAACCACATCTAACAATGTCTTCACCAAAGCACAAACTACGGGTAACACGACAAACGTTTTGATAATATCCATAACAAAGTGAAAGGGAGGATGAAAGAGCTCTGTGATGAACTCACGCGCGAACGATTAGCTCACATCATCTGGGCTTTGTTTATTTGTGTGCAGTGATCTCGGTAGAGACGCCGATAAGAGACAGCAACAGTGTACAACACGATGGGCTGGCCCCAAGGTTACTTTTAGTTCAATGAAAGTAATGCATCTACGAAAAGAATGTTTGCGCTTTCGAATTCAACGGGAGATTGTAAACGTCCTAGCCTTCTGTACTAGGTCTTGAGTCGGTCTGATTTCCGCTAAAGTATTGTTCACGCACTTTTATTTTTGATCGACTAACTGCGGGAGGATAAGTCGGCTTCTTGGATGTCTTTAATGATGGCGGCCCACGCATGACGATCGGTAGCAAGGTTGATGCAGTGAGAAACCCAGTTCTGGTTCCAGTTGCGAATTCCAGTAATTCCAAATCCGCCTTGATCGTACTACTCCAGGTCTTCAGTTGACCACCGAGTCGTCAACGCCCTCCACGGCACGGTGGGGGGGGGGCTACAGCCTGTTGCGAGTTGTCGAACCTTCGGAGCACATGGCCAAACCCCCGAAGGCGCCGGCGTTCTAGCTTTTTTGAAAGCTTGTCAATGTTCAAGCAGCGCCGAACCTCATCACTGGAAATCCGATCACTCTAGTTTACTACTTGCCTACTCTTACGAGTAGGACAAACTGTGAGGAATGCCACCGACCCTCATGCCTTACGGACAAGTTGGGATGCTGGACTGGCGCAGAGCCATCCGAAAGGTGTGTGAACCGTTCTAACGGTCACCGGCTACCAACTATTCTACCCTTTTGCGCTGCAGGTCGCACTCGGGTGTGCAAGGGTTAGAGTTGCACCCTCGAACGAAAGCGGAGCGACTCTGGGGACCTCACTTAGTACCTCATTCCCAAGTTTCATGGATCGTCTTACAATGGTACCTCACGTACCGTTCACGCTCACCCTTCAGTGGACGGTTTATGATATCAGCAAGAAGCTCTAAGGTTTTGTATTGCATTGTGTTTCTATGGACTTGTATTTACAGATATCCGTATTTCAGCCGAAAATTGTACATCTCATCAGAAGAAGGAAATAATACAAGTAAAACGTTTAGCCTCCCAGATTTCTGAGAAATTCAGAAGAAACGCGCTGTCGGTTTACAAGGGTTATAATGAAATAAGGGACTGGGGAATTTCTGTCGAGGTTAATACGAGATGGTAATAAACTATGTCAAACACGTAGATGAATGAAAGCAGCATTTGGATGAATCGCCATGTAAAGGATGAGAGGGGGTTTGTTGTGAAAATGTTTCTCACGTGGACTAGTGAAGTTTTTTTAGAGAAATCATCAACGGGTATAAAAGACACGACTGAACTAATGCGTTGCACTAACAGCCAGATAATCCCCTCGCAAAATCAGCAGAATTTAGGCTGCTGATCAGCTTCGTGTTTTTACCGCATTTCATGCAACCATTGAGGCAAGTGCAACGATAATCAGTGTTCATCCGCTACACTTCGATTTTAGGTTGGTGACTTTTCGGTCATGGTTCACAAAGTGTATGCCTTCTGTATTGCATGCCCAGATTGACAGTGCATAGTTGATCTACAATTTAATCGATTCGGATTCAATTTGGTCCTTCTTGCGACAAAATTTATTTGATGGCGACGGAATATTTTCTGTGGTCATTTGTATCTCGATTTGTTCTTCGTACTAGGCTTACCCCATCAACAAGCGTTAGGTAAACTCCATAAACGGAGTGGTGTTTTTCTTTCACCTTGTAATCACCTGAGGCGTTTTTCGCCGTCGAATCAAACCTCAGTTATCAACCATCGCTCTAAAAATCTTTGTAGAATTATAGGTACCATTAATCGTTAATTTGATTTCCATCTCGCGCTTCTAAGCATGAACTTTTTTCTTATTTTTATGTCAAACGCATCCTTTTTTACTCGAAAGGGGAGTTCACTTTACCTCCACTATAAGTTTTTAGTTAGATTTTGTATTGGACCTTGCGCACTCGTGACGCTCAATTTATCTCTTCATTATTTTTAAGGTGTTCATGAATGTGTTTGATCGGTTGAATGGCAATTCATGTAAGTAATGGGTCCCAAGGGTTTAATATGAATCGTACATTTCACCAGTGTCTCATCTTTCGAATACTTTATCCATTCTGCCACTAATATTCATGTAGGAGGTCAGCCGCCGATTTCATTCGATGACCCTCGTGTCTGTAAAAGTTACCTCTTGGATTCATGTCCACATGAAATTCTTTCCGGCACCGTAAGTTCCAAGTTTATTGTTGATTTCCTCTCAGCGCATGGATCTGGGTGCCTGCACCTTAATTCATGATCCTGCTTTGAAAGCAGATTATCGGAGAGATCCAGATAGGAAAAAGTACGCCTATGAGTTGGATGTAAGTTTCATCAAATTTCCTCAAGTTATCACATACTGTTCAGGCTTTGGAGCACCTACAAGCGTTTATTCGAGACAGTGATCACCGGACGGAATTGGCCAAAGCTAAGTTACGGGAAACTCAAGAAGAGCTAACTGATGAAGCACAACAGAAGGCAGAAAAAATTAATGCGTTGAGTGAACAAATCGGTACCAAGTTGGCACGTGCAGAACAGCTTGGCGCTGACGGCCACGTAGACGAATCACTTGCACTTATGAAAGAAGTCGAGGAGTTGAACAAAGAAAAAGCCAAGAATGAGTCTGAGCTTCGAACAGCTATACCCACAAGTACTTATCAACAACAGAAACTGCGCGTCTGTGAGGTTTGTTCCGCCTATCTTGGGATACATGACAACGATCGCCGTCTCGCTGATCACTTCGGTGGTAAACTTCACTTAGGATTTATTGAGATTCGCGAAAAACTGGCGGAGTTGCGACAAGTCGTACAGACGGAGCAAATTGTCCGTAGACGACGATTTGAAGGTTACAACCGCTCAACCTTCAGTCGTGAAGTCGAAAAACAACGGGAATCCAGTCGTCACCGTGAACGAAGCAGAGACCGAAAACATCGATCGCGCAGTCGTTCTCGCAGTCGCAGCCGATCTCACAGCCGACACCGCAGCAAACATCATTCTAGCCGAAGCAACGGTAGACATTCTCGTGACCGTCGCTATCGCTCATCCAGGGACAGAAGTGAAGACCGCTATTAAAATGTATCGAGTATCACTGTATTATAATGCCTGCATCTCACCTTCAATGCACCCCACAAGAATGTGTACTAATGAATCCGCGTGAATGGTTTTAAATCCAGTGTTCATATCCCTCAATGCTTTCACTATTTTCGCTTTTGTTAATGCAAAACTAAGAGGTATAAAGGACTTATGTAAATCACAAACAGAGAATGTACAACGGGAGTCTAAAGGATATTTTTGTTGATTTTGCTGTTGAAAAATATTCAGGTCATAAGTTGAGAGGAAAGTACGGAGAGCCGAGGAGTTCTGTTGTTTAAAGTTTTCGGTCAAAAAAGTGATCGAAAACAATCGGCTGGGCATATGAACGACTACGGCTGGTGGTTCGTTTATGTGATTTTTCGATTCACCAAAATCGGCTAATCGATTATTTTAGTTATCTTAGCTTTCCATGAGGCAAATAATTTGAGTCATCTAATGAACGCATTTTTAACGATTAGCATATGAATTTAACCCAACTGAGCGTTTCCATTGATCGGTTAAGTGTTTACTGGTGTCTGCTAGAGCAAATTCATGAGTTTAGCCTGGGATTATTTTGTTACGCAGTTCAGTCTGATTCTCTGCATACTGAGCTATCCAGGATGGTACAGCTTATAGTGTGATATCACTGTTGCAGGTTGTAGTGTACTGTTACAGCTATCAAAGCGGATCGAAATTCCAGCGTATGTCTGTGTATTCTGTTAAATTACAAACATCTGAGTGAAAGGGTTTCTTATCGTAGTATATTTAAAAAGAAATCAGTTTTTTCTTCCCTTTGTTGCTATCTACAGTCGAGCTTCTGGAAGGGGCCCCGGTCGTTAACGAAAAAGGTGAACATTGGTGGTGCTTTTAGTGTCTGGACTAATGAAGTGAATGACCTTAACCACTTGATCACCTATTGCATCATGAAAACCAGCGGTCTTTCTAAATACTGGTGACTGTTGGGATAGGTTTGAAGGAAAAAGAACTGCGTGAATGCGGTTTGTAAAACGAAATGCATTTCGTACAATGCACTCACTGTCTAACGCGATTTGTGTGCAAGCACTACCAGTGTAAGGTAAATTGAAAGCATGAATAGTTGGATGAACCAAGGGACGATTGAGTCACCATTCGGAGCTCACCTGTGCTGCCTGTTTCCTTCGAACATAAACTGCGAGTTTGGTGAGCCCGGGCAAAAAGGTTAGTGTCTTCGAAAGTTTTTGCCTACTTGCAACTGACGTCTGACCGAACAAAGTACATGCCAGATAGGCCTATCTGAGTTAATGTACCAAACTGCAATCTGAGGAGTTCAAACCTTGACATTTCGTTTTCCCATCGTGTTCAAATGTTCATAGCCTTAACGTTGATGATCACACTACGTCCTCGTGCGCTATCGGTGATGATATAAAAAAACAAGGTTATGAGACCATCGATCGTATTGGTTTCGGTCGTTTGTCTCAGCTGACGAGTAAAACTTCAACTTTATCGCTTACACTTCCTACGGTATTGATCGGTTGAACGGATTCTGTGCAGAGAAAGTTGAGCTGCAGGAGAATCAAATGAATTGTTTACTACATCCCAGAAACGTCTTTGGAAAGACTGGATTGGAGCCATACTTGTAACGATAAACACCGCAACGAGATAGTAATTATAGGAGGAAGTTCAGTGCTGAGTCATCGGTATTTTTTTGTATTTCACACTTGAGGTCAGACTGTGTGCCAAACAAGTCACGGTGCAATAATCTGTATGAAAGGAAAAACGTTCCATGATTGGCTTGTGGGCCGAATACTGCCTGGTTGCCCAAGCCAAGGCAGGTGTATTTTCTTGCTGACTGCGGCAGTACGAGTCAATGCACTGAAAAAGATGGTAGGGAGGAGAGCAAAGTCGCATTCTGTTGGTTGCTTGACCATGGATATTAAGAATGTAATAAACTCTCATTAGAGCTTGAAGCTCGTGAAAACCTCGTTCGTGCTTCATTCAAGAGTTGCATACATTCCAATCTAAACTCAGATAACGTGAGTTTTCATAATTCAGTTAATACCGATTCTATCGACTTGTCACTGCAGCATCTTTTGCGCTATTATTCACTATCCCTTTTAGTGGTTCAGTGGACATGCCCCTGGAAATGGTGTGGTTTGTTGCTGGAATGATTGAAGTCACACCAGCTGACCTTATACGGTCAACTGAACATCCATACAGAGAGGTGAGGGGATCGACCAAGGCTGGAAACACGAGCACTGAGATTACAACCGATCGTCACTGTGGGTCTCAACCTAATCCATATTCAGAATTAAGGATGCTTATTTTCAAGCACCAAGCTTGTGTAACTCGTGCAACTTGCAGTGACGCAAACGTGTTTAGGATAGGTTGACAACAATCGCACTCATATTTCTCAATCACGGCGAGACTGCACCTTGGTGTGGTCTGATGGTTTGCTTTTCCCAATGAGACTACGAGCAATACAGGGTGCCTGAAAGCTTAACGGTTAGAGGCCAAAACAAGCTCAGTCGCACAAGGCCAGCTAAATGGGCACCTGGCTTCCTTTGACTATCCTAACCCTAGAGAGGTCGTTCCAGCAAATGAACACGGGAAGCGGCTGTTTACCGGTCGAAAAAAATCCCACTAGATGGACGTAGAAGCGGAGTATCTGGAGCTTCCGTTCGACGGTGG